TCTGGATAGAAACTGACAACAAGAACGCCACTGACACCGGTTGGCAGCCATATATTGTAGTGTCTCCAACCAGGCACAGTGAGGATCACGCAGTCCCCATCCTGGAAGGTGAGTAGCACCGACAGCACCCAAGCGTTTCGTGATCTCCTTCATACTCCTCTGCGAAGTCAGGGGTTGGCCACCTCTCTGTTTACGCCACTCTGAGTTGGGCATGGAAAACAGCATTGTCTTCGGCAACCGATGGTTCGGTATACGTGACACATGTCCCAATCAACGCAGCTTCTGGTGCTGGACACATTCTTCAATGGAAGTACCCGGTTGCACAACCGAAAACGCTCTTTCTAACTGCCTCAGTACGGATTCGCCGACACCAACCCATACGAGCTATGCTTCTGAGACAACGATTTTGGAACAGCCGAAGACGTCTCACTTCCGCTTTATATTAGGAACCGTCGATCAACAGAGAATTCTGTTATCCAGGTATGGAGTCCGCCCCCGATCCGGTGAGTGGAGAGTTTGTATCAGGCACATCATTGTGAGATTGATGAAATCCTTGATTGTATCTTGGAGTAGATTAGGCATGAATTTGCCAATTACAGATCAATAATGGACTGCACTACAATGGTTATTTTCCATTCCTGTGAAAGACTTACTTTACCAAACGACTTTCTAACCACTTGTGACAATGATATGGCAGTGTTACTGGTTATGTGTTCCAAGAGATGAAGGTGAATCGCACTCCAGCTCGGGGCCTACCCACTCCAGGGACTTCTCCATGTTCGTCGAATTGATTTTACAATCCCATACTGACCGACAAGTGAATTTCTTAAAGGAGCAATGATGGGATTCCCCTCCAGTTTACGATGTTGGGGGGGGGGGTAAAAATAGTGGACAGAATAGAATGGAGGTCGAGTCGAATAAACTGGTGTAACTTTGTCCCACTACAAAGACCTGCAATTTAAGCTGGAGACATTCTATTCCACCGTGATAACACAGCTGTAAACTCAATCATGTGTTAGATTTCGGAAGTTCCGATCTTGAAACCTGCCATCCTGGGGCCCAAATTCTAACTCCAATAAAAAATGTTCATGACACCATGGTAAAACAGGATCATGCTTCAAAATGTGCTCGGAATTTTGATTGGTCCGCCATACTCCAAGAATGGCGGTAACTGAAGCTCCATGCAACTGTTGAGAACTAGTGAATGTTGATGCATTTCTGAAAAAGACGTGTTCCCAATGTCTGATCAGAATGGATTTACGGACCTTGCGGCATCCAGTTCTTTTCTGATGAGACTTACGGCTTCTCACATCAACAGTGTATACATTTCCGTGACTTTGGAAGGCCCTATGAAAGTATAATTTGATTAAAGCAGAAATGTCTAAAAAAAAACACAGCTGGGCTTCATAAATTATCTGTACAGAGACGATCAATAACATTAAGGTCTTTCAGTTTTGTAAAGCATGATCCCATTGGATCCAAGCAATGTACCGGAATAAACTCGTTCTTAGAGCATCGATCGTTCTGTGGAATTTTCCAGTCACCTGATAGCGTTATTGTAAACAGTGAGGACAGTCTTGCTGAAAATGATCCCTCACATGATCCGAATCAATAACCCGTAGGTGGCTGCTCGGTTCTGAGGTTTGGCGATTGGGTTCTACCAGATTAACAAGCAAAGTATGCTAAGCCTTCCTCACACCAATTCGCTTTTAATTTTTTGGACCAACGGCTGCTGATTGCTGCTCCGTTAGCCGTAAAAATCGCACTACTTCATACGAACAAGTAGTTAGTTTGGAAAACAGCCATAATGTGCATTGAAGAGCTGTTCGACATCCAGCTCACTGCAAAATTTCAGAGTTTACCCAATACCGTGTTGCCCTTCGGCTTATCAACAGCCCGAACGGGAAGTGCGTAATGACATTGGAACCTCGACCTCGGCCTTCTCAACAGCTCATTATTCAGTACAAAGCAGTGGAGGCGTTTTTTGGGCACTCTACATTTCGGGATGTTTTTTTTAAGTTTCCGTTGGTCTCATTCTTGTGACAACTAACGCTATAGCACTATAAACTGCACAAGCCTGTCGAACGCTGTACCGGAAAACTCCATTCAATGAGATACAATGTAAGTAGGCGCGGGTCTTGTTTGCCCAGTACTTTCCAACTATTCACTGCTAGCTGAAAGCAGATGAGCTCATGCTTGCAATATGCTAGGACAACCTATTCTGACGACGGATTTTGGATTGCGAATTAAGCATCAAGTAGATTCCGAACCGACTCACTTTTTTACCGCCGGTGTTGTCTTGCAGTCATATCAGAACCAGTCGTAAGCTCAACCAAAACATGACGTCTGAGGTTACCTGTATGTAATTACTGGTGCCGGGTAGCCTCTACATGCGTTTTATATCGGGGGCTTTAAACACACCAGTTTACCACTTGGGACCTGCTCCGTGTTTTCCGACAGCTCAGTTATCAAAGTATATGCCACATCAGACAATCTGGCAACCATTCATTCAGGCAGGCAGCAGAGACCGTTCCTGTATGAGGACACACAACCATTCTTCACTAGGCCAGACACTGGACAAGTGGAGAGTTGTAAGAAATAAAATCCGGTGAGCCGTTTGTTGGTTGGGTAACTGCCGGGATGCAAATACGCATTAAGAAATAGCAAGTTGTCAGAAAACTGTCACTGGTCATCCTATCTCGGTGTCGGCGAATACTTAACGAGGTAGTTAGAAAGCGCGTTTTCGGTTGTGCAACGGGTACGTCCATTAAGGAAAGTGTCCAGCACCAGAAGCTACGTTGGTTGGGACATGTGTTGCGTATGCCGAACCATCGGTTGCCGAAAAGAGTGCTGTTTTCCATGCCCAGTGAAGAGCGGCGTAAGCAGAGAGGTTGCCAACCCCAGACTTGGCAGAGGAGTATGAAGGAGATCACGAAACGCTTGGGTGCTGTCGGTGCTACTCACCTTCCAGGATGGGGACTGCGTGATCCTCACTGTGCCTGGTTGGAGACACTACAATATATGGCTGCCAACCGGTGTCAGTGGCGTTCTTGTTGTCAGTTTCTATCCAGATTGCCTGAGTGAATGTCTGGAGGTGTATGCACCTCGGAATGATTGTGTTAAGCTAACACTGAGTCCCTTCCCCGTCCACCTTTACTCTTCTCTTTACAATAAGGCTTTCGAATAAGGCTTTCAAAAAAACAAGGTAGTGAAGCCTCGGCATTGAACACTGATGTCATGCTGTCGATGATGATGATGATCTCATACTGATGATACGCTGGCCAGGAAGATGGAAACTATGCATTTTCAGGGCAAGAAATCCTGGTAAAGAGAAATGATGGTTGCAGTATATCAATCTAAATGAGGTGATCTAAGAATAAGAAGCTTCAGGCCGTTAGAAATCTTGCAATTTCTGGCGCACTTCTTCAGTAGAAAAGCATTGGAATCAAGATGTCACGTGAACTCCACATTTATAATCGGTACCCGAGTTTCGTGAAAAGAGCCCTACCAGCCGCTTCTGCTACCCCTGAAACAGTAGATTATTGGAAAACAGTGACTGCCATTTATGTGGCTGGCTGCTCCTGGGCGTTTAAATTCAAAATTCAGGGAATCTGTGAAGGACGACCGCGGACACTTTGATTAGCCAGATGTTTGACCACTGGTCAGGTAGTTTAGCCGTCTCTTAGGGGATAGTTTAAACATAACTTTAGAAACTATCAAAAAGCGCTTGTTCGTTTGTCCCATGAAAGGAATCAGTTAGCACAAAATCCTTTGAATTTCCTATTGGAATTTCGTCCTGTGATCTCTGATGCATTTCACCAGATCTATTCGCACTACTATCAGTCTATAAGTAGCTTAGATAAGCCGATATAAATTACGTGATCTAATTCAGTAGCTGGGCCATTCCATTGGCAGCAAACTTCGAAGAAGAGGCAATGTAGACTGTTCTCGTGGTCACGGCTTGGATGAGTGGGGTATGAGTTCAGCGCTGAACCTTTAAGCGCGTTGGCCCTTTGTCCGAAACAGCGCACCAAAGTGGTCGCTCTTCGCTTCACCTGCTCGTCCCGCATGGGCTGCAAGGCTCGAACGGATTGGTTCAGTACGTATCTAATGGTTGAAAAATAGGGGCGCCTAATAAAGCAAACAGCTAATATTGGTTACTAAATTAGGAAACGCGGTAACACTGATAACTGGTTATTAGAGAGACCCAGCTCGCCTCCAATTCGATGCTGTGAGGTCCGTTGAGTGACGAGAGGAACCGATAAATGTCACATGACCAAGGCAGACTCAGCACCGCATTCATTGTGGAGTTATTTGTGATCATGTACTGGCCGAAAGACCAGCTTCAAGAAGGTCAGATTCCTAAAAATAAACCCAGAATGAGACCCTAAAACTGCACCAAAATCTCAGTAGGGAAGCCAGCAAGCACGCAGGCCAGTCAATCATTCAATCGATTCAGCAAGGGCCGATTATTGTTCAGGCACGCCACAGAAGCACGACCGACTATGATAAATGTTCGGGCATTTCATAGAGGCACGGTCGATGTTGATCGATATTCATACCAATCAGGCAGCCTGGATCAATGTCGAAAAGTGCCTTTTAAATAACACAAGGCCGTTGTAAACTTTACACCTCCTTGTTGCCTGGAAATATCACAAACGAGAGATTCAGCTGAGTTTCTGGTGAGTGTATTTCGCTAATTTTGCGCAATTAGGTTTCAAGTAGAGCATGAGGTTGACGGAAACTCGGAGATACCGTCTATCTGATGAGCCCCAAGAAGGGCGAAACCGGTCGTGAGCTGTCGAAGAATTTTCAGCAACCTTATGAGTAGTGCATTACGTCTAGACAAGCATCGTGATATCTCGAGTATCGTAGCAACAGAAGCAGGAGGCGGCCTGATGCAGCACATTCAGTTTCCTGGAAACATCAAAAACGAGAGACTCAACTGGGTTCTAGGTAAGAAGTTACCGATCAATAATTCACATCAAAATCATTGTTACTTACTGCCCACCCCACCGTTTCATCTTTCTTTCTTCAGCCTCCTTTCCTGGTCTACGATGGCTTAAAGACGGTTTTCCCAAAATCGCTTGCTCCTTCCGAAAACGGTTCACTTCAGGTTATGAGCAGGAGTCTTCAAGATTTGTCTCAAACAGAAACTGACAGCACAGAGACCTTGAGACCTCAAGAGTTTCGAAAACCCCCGACCTACGAATCCACGGTCACTTCAGCTATCCACAATTTGCGGTTCTCACCCATTCTACAGCCAACCTGTGATATCGGCATTTCACCTGATTCACAGAAAGCGTCTTTACAAGTTTCTCCATCACACTCCACACAAGCGCCACGTTCATTTGACACACCTGTTTCCCCATGGTCCAGCAAAAGAGGGTTGAACAATCTCTTATTCACCGAACCTAAAAATTCATCCGCCATGAACAATTCATCCTCTTCACCCAGAAGGAACACCACCAAGATTGTCTACGCCCCGGGTGCGATCAAAGGCGATGGACAGATCGGGAATGCTACGGAGGAGAGAGAGTGTCATTCGCCAGACAACTTCCAGAGGAGTTACAAGCCTTCCACCATCGTCTGCACAGTCAATCGTTCTGTGTCTGTTAGCCGATCGGACCCGACGAATCGATATTGATCCGTAATGACGTCATCACCTGGTGTCACATGGAATCCAGCTGTGTGTACAGTCGAAAAACAGCTGATTTGGACGCCGAAAACTTGCTTCAATTACGGAAAACCGCTCATGTATATTTCTAGTGTGTAACAGATACTGGTAGTAGAATACCATGTATTTTATTTACTTCGCTCAAATGCATATATCCCAGCTTGATCAGAAAGACTGATTTGAAAGGTACTCGGGAGATGTGCCAGGTGCGATAAAAATGTGCTTTTTTGGGTCCCGAAAGTGGCCAAACTCGGCCACACCACAGTCACTCTAGACACCATTCTGTAGTTGAATGAGTCACATCCTTCCACTAGTTTTTTTTCTCACTTGCTTTCCACCGTCATGTTCATCACCACCTACCTACTAGCGCATGCAGAAAACGGAATTGTGTGGAACGAGAACCGAAAATCTGACACTCGGATGAGTCAATCGATTAGGAAGTGTATCGAACATAACGATTCAAATGGATCGCAAATAACTCGAGTGAACACGTCGTCAAGCACAGCATGCACCGGAGTTCTTCTCAGGTTCATGCATTAGATTGGTAAAAGGTCGAGGACAGGTTTTGATAAACCGACAAAACTGGTTTCCTCCCGGAGGACTTTCCCCTCTCACAATATGGAATGAAACTTAGTGTATAGGCGTCGCAGAGGTCTGAGTTTTAAACAAATTTACTACCCCCGGAAGTGAATATGAAAACCAAAACGAAATACACTCATTTGCATAACGGTGTAGTTCAAGGGGGTGGGGGGGGGCGAGAAGGCCCAAGTGGTAAGAGCGCGAATTTTATAACCGCAAGGCCCGTGGTTCGAACCCGACCTCTGTCTCTCGGCTCCCCTGTCTAGGCTTGGGCAACCTGGCAGTATCCTAGCCCTCGTGCAACCTTCGAGTGGCATGGCAGTTTGGCATTGAAAGGGTGCTACAGCTGAACGATAAAAGTTTGGTTTCAACAGTTGAATCTCTCGTTGAGGATATTCTCCGGATAGATGAGTTGTATAAAACCACCTTGATGTACAATTTTGGGTTCAAGGGGAACATAAGGTTGACTGGAGCTCTGTGCCTACCTAAAGAGCCCGCCCAAGTAGGGATGGCTCAGCATGGCTCAGCGTGGACTGTCGAAGAGTCCTCTGCAAACTTATGAGCGGTTTCCCGCAAGGAAATAAAAGCATTCTCTTGAGTTTTTTTTATGCGGAAAAATCAAAAATGCTTTTACAAAACGGGTAACGAAGAAGTAGATTCAATTCTGAGACTTTCAAAAAACTTTAAGTGAGGCAAGATATAAAACTTGCGAGGGGGTTCCCCAATACATTCAGAATTTGTTGATAAAAAACCAGAGATCATGCCAAAGGTATCGTGTTTGCCAAACAGTAGACAGCTATTGTCAGCTTGGGTACCCTTCATTTAGACACGTAAAAGATAGTTATTTGCAAATCAATTTGGTTTTCACGAGAGACTCACCTGAATCTCTCACTTACGATATTCTATTCATGAGGCGGCCTGTGTGCAACACATTCAGTTGTAAATACCATAAAACGGGAGATTCAGTTGAGTCTCTCGTGAAAACCAAATTGATTTGCAAATAAGTGTATTTCTNNNNATTTGGGTTGAAATAAAACATAAGGTTGACGAAAACTCGGGGACTGAGCCTACCTGATGAGCCAGAAGAAGGGCGAAACCGGTCGTGGGTTGTCGAAGAGTATTCAGCAACCTTGTTAGTAGTTTCCTTCAGGTAAAAGATAGCTTTGAATTCCTTTTTCTCGAGTGTTCAGACCTGAACTGCGATTTCCCGTGCGTTTTGCGAGCTAAAGCTGCTCACCAAAGAAGCCGATCTCGCTGGGTCGCAGTGGCGACGTTCGAGAATAAAGATAAAAACCTAAGGTGGCTTATTAGCGCACCGTAAGGGATAAGCGTTTGTAGCCTGGCCTTTTTGCAGCCTACTTTTTTCGAAAACAAAATCCTGTAAACAAGTAGGGTATTTTTTCGTCACATGGCTTCCGCAATAATTTCGGTTCCCGGCTGAGTGGAGTAAAATACGATACGAAACCGATCAGATTCAGTACGAAAAACCATTCTCTTCTCGTCATCAAAAGTTGTCCATTTTGATTGCCAGAATTCTGGCGCGGACTACAAGTTGGTGGATAAACACGCGAGCATTCCAAGTACGGTTGATCCTGGCTATAAGGAAGTAGGAAAAACTGGTTGCTGTTCTGTGTCTGTCCGCTTCCTGCTGCGGCCCTCGCTAACGGTCTAAATGGCTAATCCCACAACATTCTTTTGGAAAGACTACACTTCGGGATACTTTTAGAATGTGGTTTGCTTCTTTCTTATCAGCGCAAGCACGTGAGTCATGCGCTAAATCTTCAAATGATAGCTTCTCAAGTTACCTTCCGAATGTGCTACTGACATTATAAGTAGTAAAGCGATAAACCTATACGAAGAACCAGACGACTAAGAAACAGGGACCATCGTCACAGAGTGCTTGAGATGCTTCGTACCGAAAAGTCACACCAACTATACACTAGGACTGAACAAACTGTACAAGACCTCTCTATCAAACACCATTGGATTGCTCCTAGACAACTTCAGTACAAGTGTAAACAATCAACGGGACAATACAGCTAAAAGTACAACCTTTGTTAAAAAAGTATATCGCACATACTGTGTTGTTTTTTGTACACATTCACGCATAGTTCTTATAGCAAAGAGGATTTCGTGGGTCAGGCAGTCAGTCAAGGTCGGGTTACAACCCCCTCCTGCATACGAAGCGTAGTTTGTTTCGCAGTGTAACAGCACACCAGTATTCGTTTCGACGAATTCTTTGAACAGGCTCATTCAAAATTCAAACGCAGTCTTGGTAGCTGATTCTCAAGTCACTCGGAACAGTACAGATCTGGGGATATGAATGAACGGTACGGATAAACGGAAATACCCAAAGATCCGGTTCCTCTGTCTTGGTAATGCAACACACTGAGAATTTACTTTCTACTCACAAGGGGATTGTGGGAAGCAACAGGTTCAAGGTGTTGTTTGCACCTGAAATCATCTACCCTGACTGCGACACCACACAAGAACACTGGTGCTTCACTGCCTTGCAAACATGACAGTTGATTTGAACAAAGGGTTGCGAAGGGAAGAAGAAAGTGGGTTTAGGGCTGGTCTACAACAAACATGCGAGATGCCTACATCTCCGACGAACTGAATCGAAACTGAGAACATGAGTGCCACCGGCTTCGGTTAGCTACTGCATCGTTCAGTGTCTCCAGCCGAGCATAAGCGAGATACACCTGGACTTCATCCTGGAAGGGTTATGTCAAATTTTGTCCACTTCCAGCTCTGCGCCAATCTGAATTAGTCACCGGTCCTCTTGGGAGGGTGTAACTTGGTATGAGTGGAGCATGGTGCAAGCCACTCAACTCATTCAGAATCCACTGGTCAGAGACCTGAGAATTTCTCAGATCCTTCGCTTGAAGTGCGTCTGACATAGAAAATATTAGTCCAGACAAAGTTCGGAATATATACATGGAGAGAAAAGAGCACGTCTATCTTCAAAATCTGTACAGTCAAACGGGAACTGACGCCCAAAAAGTTGAACTGTGTTTTCAGTGAGTGGACCTTGGTAAATTTGTCCCATGTGGAAAGTTCTTATAATAGGAGTAGATGGAGAGTATATTAGAGGTGAAATCAGTAATTTGTGGACCCGGTTAACTTTTGTACCGTAGTTATTGATTTTTCCACTAATGAGTGAGATCGATTGCAATAGGCTATGTGCAATACCGTTAGAAAGGAGGCATTTGTAAATTCGTGAGACGGCATAACAGATTTCCGTATCACAGGTTTAAAAAAAAATTAAATGAACACATCTTCAGAGCTGGAGTTTTAGACTATGTTTTTCTTACTAGTGTAACGGTGGATACTACTGATGAGGTATGAGAGTAGTGTTTTTTCGTATTTTCGTTTCGCGTCTCTTGAGAAGTGAGATGTATTATGTAATTTGCGGAATCACTTTGTAGCGTTTGCCCGCCTTTCAGTAACAGTCAATGAATATCCAGGAAAGTTCAGGAAGACGCGTTCAAGGAGAAAAAACGGATGTTTAGTTTTTATAAACAAGATGCATGAGAGTTTTGCCTGTGTCCAATAGTCTGTAACTGTTGGTGTTTCTCTAATAAACAACTTCGCAGCAAAGGCCTTCTTCCTTTCACTAGGATTACACGTATAAGAAGATACGCTGAAGGACTCATCAAAATTTAGCTTCGTGGATCTCAGGTGTTGAAGTCGAATCCTGTTAAGTTTCTTCATCATGTATTACCTTGCCTCGAGTTCTCTCCCCACTTTTCCGGTGACCAAGGAGGGTTGAGCAAGAGACCACTGGATACCTTAGTTCCGTCGGTCACCCGGCTTCTTCGTGTCACTGATTGCATCAGGTTAGTGCTCAGGTGAGTTTCCGCGCTCGAGAAAGCTCAGTGGCTAAGGTACGAACCTTGTGAACGGGAGGTCCGTGGTGCAAACTCGACCTCAGTATTTCAACAGCCCTTCTCTCGGCTTGAGCGAACCGGCAATGTCTCAGTTCTCGTGTGGCATAGCAGCGATGCCTGGAAATACGATTTTCGGCGAGTCTGTAGCTACCCGTTCACCAATAGACTTGACTGTTCAGCTCACAGTCGCTCACTGGATCACGAGACTTGTCTTTTTTCCATACTCGCAAACCACGTCACATTAAGGTGACTCATCGGACATCGATTGTCAGTACCGTCTAGTGAGCGTAGCAACTACTCATGTGCTGACACACCCACGTACACGCAAGCGGACCTACATATAGGGAAACCGAACACAGTCAGAACACACAGACTCGCGCGCGCGCACAGGGGGCAGGAAATAGCGACTACCTATCCAACCACCAACAGTTAATCGCGGAATCTGGTGTTGACGTGAGACTCGGGTGAAATTCGATGGAATCTGCTGTTCTTCAACTGAACGATATTTGGATGTGTACTGCGACATACGTACATACTGAATGGTCACAGTTAGGCAATATGGTTGAAGGAGATCTAGGCTCACGTGCTCAGGTTCAAGTGGGCTGTCCAAATTGGTAGCAACTGGTAACTGAAATCAGCCGATAATGTGTCGGAATATTGATAGCTTGGGTGAGTTTTTTGTTCAGGT